GTTAAATACAATTATGATGGTTCTTTAAATCTATGGGCGCCGCGCACGTAATATAGGCGCCCCGCCCCCTGCGCTGACGGGAGCGCTGCGCAGGAGGAAAGCCGGAGCGCGCCCGCGCTCGGCCCCGCCCATTACCGTACTTACCTCCCCGCCCCCACGCCGAACCCGGGCGGAGAGCGCGGCGCAGGCCGCGCAGTGCGCTTCCAATTGGGACTGAGCAAATGGAGGAAAAGGAAACCGCCTTTCAGTTAAACCGACTCACTGCACAATCTATTGGCCTTTCTGGGTCTTTGGTGGCTATACTCGTTTGGCTTTTCGCCTTCCCAGCCTGGAGGCTGCTTTGTCCAAATGCTTTCTTCAGTCCTCAACTTGGCATTTCAACCCGAATCCGCCTTTTCTTCCATCTTAGATCTGCCTTCTTGTATGTTTCTCCAGCTTTTCGTTTAAAACTCCTTCAAATCGTTTTGACTGGTATAACACACATTGGCAACTGTTACACGCAGGGGCTCTTTTCAGCATAATGCTGTATTTGATTTAATATGTGTAAGTCCTGCTTTGCGAATTGGATTTTAAGTTCGAGAAGGGCAAGGGCAGAGCCGTTCTTTTGTCTGTTCCACACCCCGGGTGCAGGGCCTGGGAAGTAGAGGCTTTGCTTACTACTCCATACTGCAAACCCTAGTTTACCAGCATTTGCAGGGCTATTCTCATGCTCTTAATAACCCTAAATAAACCACAGAATTGCATTTCCAAGTTTTCTGTACCTACCACAAAGACGGACCTCCAGTAAGGCTTGTTCTGTCCACTTTAGGACCTGGTCATCGGCTATGAAGTCTCAGTAGTTAACCATGAGGGTGAGACCCAGCCAGGTCTTTGATTATAGGCCCACTTGATTCTCTTCCTATTCCTGTAGAAATACTCTTGACCAAATCATTCTGAAATTTAAAGTTCATGAAAAATCAAGGGCAGTGATTTTGTAAAAAAAAAAAAAAAAAAAAAAAAATGGACTATCGCTCTTGAAAAGAAATCCGTTATTTTGTATGTTAGAAGTTTACTTTTTCGCTTTAAATAAAAGATGTGATGTTCCCGCAGTTTTAGACAGGGAAGTCAGAATTTAGATTCGTGATAGAAGTTAACGTCTTAAACCCCAGATAATCTGCAGTGTCCAGCCAGTGTTCCATCTGACTAAGGAGATGGTTTATACCCACTGTTTGGTACTCTAGGTGGCACAATAATATTGCCCCATTATTAATTTGAAATTTGGAAGTATACATATTGAAATTTCTCCCATGGGCTAATGGGATTTAACTGATTGATGCATTTTATTTTTGAAGTTTATTTTCAATGGCTTTTATGAAGCATTCTGTCATACCTTGCAGCCATGTATACGTGAAATATTAACATTTGTGAAATGATTTGACTTGAAATTAATGGACTATGTACGGTACTACTGATAATCCCCAGTTCAAGTTAAGTGGTGAGGCGAGCCCCCAAAATAGAAACTTCCAAACAGTGCCAGAATCTCATTTTAGCCTTTGGTTATAATGTCTTTGAAGGTTATAAATATGCCACCAACTTGAATTTGAAACTTCTTTATTTTTGTTCAAAAATGGGAAGAGAGCTACAGGGGGCTTACACGTTCACAAACTAGGTAATTAATCCCTTAATGAATCAGAGTTAAATACAATTATGATGGTTCTTTAAATCTATGTGTCCTAGATATTATTTACACTTTTAAATATTAGTGATATGAAAACAAATTTCGTTTACTGGAAAACACTAAACTACGAAAACAAAGTTTGCATATCTACGTATACTAGATCTCTAACAGTCACTCTTGGAACATTAAGTCAGTTGCAATAAAACATGAAATACAACTTTTGATGCTCACGAGAAAGTTCCGTGGCTTTATCTCCAAAAGTTTTGGAGACCTTTAGAGCTGGATGGGGCCTGGAGATCGATCATCAGGCCTGTTCATTTTACTGCCCAGGAAGCTGGGACGCTCACTCCCACACCAATGGGCTTTCCATTACATTGTGCTGCCTTAGACATTTGAAAGAAAAACAGTTTCTGCTCAAAGACCCATCATCGTACTATCCTCTTCACAAACAGGGGAAACATGCCATTCCATAGTCTATGTTACCACTTCAAAGTACAAATGGTGATATCTTATTGATCGTTTTTGCTGCTTATATTTTTTAAAAATGTCATGATAGTCCTGCTCTACAGAGACCGGTTAAAGTGCAGGTCTCTTCCTGTGAATCTCTGAAGGACCTACAGGACACTTTAAATTCCCCCTTTGTGAAATCCTAG